CATTGAAGCCATAACAAAAGCAAATTATCTTTTGTTGGACAATGTTTAGACGTTTTTTTTCCTCTACACCATCCTCTTTGGCTTTAGAAATTTTCCTGGTTTCCAGTTTCTCTTGCTTTAAGACTTTTTTTCATAAACTGATCTTCAGTTAATGTCAAAGTGAGAATTAGAACATTAAACAGTTTAAAGCAATTAGCAAGTTCTTTAAAGTTAGAGGAAGGAAGGAAGTTGTAAAGGAAACCACAACCTAATACATACTTATTTAACTTTTTTTTTTTTCTTTCATTCTATCTTTCAATTTTAATTAAATTATTGTGATAATTTATAGATAAATAAATAATTTATTATAAAATATTATTTAATTATGCAAAATTGTTATTGTTTCGTTTTAAGAGACCAAATGACGTCAATTGTTTTTATTTTTTTTTGCTATTGTATTTTTGTTGTTTTCTGACTGCAAAAGTTGTTGTATTTCTTTTAGCTAACGGCACATATCGTGCATAACGTTTTTGCGCATGTGCACAGATTTTTTTTACTTATGTTTGTTGCTTTTTGTGTGTGTGTATGTTTTTTTTAACAATTTTTCAAATGCTTGCAGCCAAAAACCAGTAATGAGGAAAAAAACTAAAACAATTGTTATACATAAATAAATGAAAAAAAAACAACAATAAATATTAATTTTTTTAACTAGTTAAGCTTTCAACAATAGTTTTTTTATAATAATTAACTAACAAAAATTATGAAAAAAATATAATTTTAATTTGAATTTACTAGAAAATTATATACTACGTCTCCTCGTACTAAATTGTTAAAGTTCAACGAAGCTTAACGTGGTTTATTGTTGTTGTAGCTTTTTTAATTTTTCAAAACAAGTGAAAATCTATTAAAGTTTAAAATTTCACTTGATTTTTTGTTATTTTTTTATATCAAATATGAATAAATAATGCCCATACTCAATTGCGGTAAAACGGATAGATTAAGGATAGATAGATGCCCATAGATATCAATCTGCGGTTAGATAGTTTAGATCGGATGTAGATAGTGATAGTAGATAGATAGAGTAGAGATAGATAGATCCGAGATAATATAGATAGATAGATAGATAGATAGATAGATAGATAGATATAGAGATAGATAGATAGATAGATAGATAGATAGATAGATAGATAGATAGATAGATAGATAGATAGATAGATAGATAGATAGATAGATAGATAGATAGATAGATAGATAGATAGATAGATAGATAGATAGATAGATAGATAGATAGATAGAGTAGATAGATAGATAGATAGATAGATAGATAGATAGATAGATAGATAGATAGATAGATAGATAGATAGATAGATAGATAGATAGATAGATAGATAGATAGATAGATAGATAGATAGATAGATAGATAGATAGAGTAGATAGATATATATATAGATAGATAGATAGATAGATAGATAGATAGAGATAGATAGATAGATAGATAGATAGATAGATAGATAGATAGATAGATAGATAGATAGATAGATAGATAGATAGATAGATAGATAGATAGATAGATAGATAGATAGATAGATAGATAGATAGATAGATAGATAGATAGATAGATAGATAGATAGATAGATAGATAGATAGATAGATAGATAGATAGATAGATAGATAGATAGATAGATAGATAGATAGATAGATAGATAGATAGATAGATAGATAGATAGATAGATAGATAGATAGATAGATAGATAGATAGATAGATAGATAGATAGATAGCTAGCTAGATACATAGCTAGATAGATAGATAGATAGATAAATAGATAGATAGATAGATAGATAGATAGATAGATAGATAGATAGATAGATAGATAGATAGATAGATAGATAGATAGATAGATAGATAGATAGATAGATAGATAGATAGATAGATAGATAGATAGATAGATAGATAGATAGATAGATAGATAGATAGATAGATAGATAGATAGATAGATAGATAGATAGATAGATAGATAGATAGATAGAGAGGTAGATAGATAGATAGATAGATAGATAGATAGATAGATAGATAGATAGATAGATAGATAGATAGATGATAGATAGATAGATAGATAGATAGATAGATAGATAGATAGATAGATAGATAGATAGGTAGATAGATAGATAGATAGATAGATAGATGATATAGATAGATAGATAGGATAGATAGATAGATAGATAGATAGATAGATAGATAGATAGATAGATAGATAGATAGATAGATAGATAGATAGATAGATAGATAGATAGATAGATAGATAGAAAGATAGATGGATAGATAGATAAATAGATAAATAGATAGATAGATAGATAGATAGATAGATAGATAGATAGATAGATAGATAGATAGATAGATAGATAGAGATAGATAGATAGATAGTAGATAGATAGATAGATAGATAGATAGATAGATAGATAGATAGATAGATAGATAGATAGATAGATAGATAGATAGATAGATAGATAGATAGATAGATAGATAGATAGATAGATAGATAGATAGATAGATAGATAGATAGATAGATAGATAGATAGATAGATAGATAGATAGATAGATAGATAGATAGATAGATAGATAGATAGATAGATAGATAGAAAGATAGATGGATAGATAGATAAATAGATAATAGATAGATAGATAGATAGATAGATAGATAGATAGATAGATAGATAGATAGATAGATAGATAGATAGATAGATAGATAGATAGATAGATAGATAGATAGATAGATAGATAGACATAAAGATAGATAGACTAAAGGTATACTAGCAATAGAGAACCAGAGCTGTGAGTTCAGCAGTCTACAAACTCATCTAAAGGCATACTAGCAATAGAGAACCAGAGCTGTGAGTTCAGCAGTCTACAAACTCATCTAAAGGCATACTAGCAATAGAGAACCAGAGCTGTGAGTTCAGCAGTTGTAAGATGATCATGAGGTTGACGCAATCTGAAAAAAAATATACTAAAATCGGGAACAGGTCACCGTGAAAAGGAAAGTTTTTCACAGAAAAGAGTTAGGGCCCTCTTGCCAAGAATTAGAATTTATTTTGCCTCTAAAGCTGTCATCTACATAATTGATATTTTCCGATATTAGTTGTTTTTGCAATTAAATATTATGAAAAAATATTATATTTTCTATTTTAATCATTATTTTCAATGTCTTTCTTTGTAAATTGATCACAAATATTTTTAAACCTTATTTAAAAAATAACGTATTTTTTATTAAAAACTCTTTGTAGAGCTTTTATCCCATTAAGACAACCATCTGGCATTACTGTTTGTATAAAAACTGTTATCTCTTTTACATTTCTCACAACACATGTTAAATATTAATTAGCATTATATTTATCTCTAACAGTTGTATACAAAATCACAACAAGTTAACTGTTAACCAAATAACAGTTTGAGTTGTTTACCTTTTTTTAACAGTTTATTTTTAAACTAAACAGAGTTGTTTATTAAAATTAATGTTAAATTAACATAAACAGTGTTGTTATTTTCATTACGTATACCAGCAAATGTGTATGGGTGGTTAGGCTTTGTATAAGTAAATGATCTTTTGTGAAAACTCTTATACAGTTTTTTTTTTATTCATCTACTACATGACTTGTTTTTGTTATTTTAAAATTTAAATACCGGTCTCTTTTCTGGTTTGAATATTTTTTTTGAGTAATCTGTTTTCTTTTTCCTCTTATTTATTTGTTTATTAATAAAATTTATATTTATTGTGTTATTGAATCTATTTAATGGAAAAATATGTAGTTTTTGCCTTAATTTAATTTATTGCTTTTGTTGACAATTATTAGTCATCGTTAATTATATATTTTTCTAGTTATCTAGTGGAAAAAGAGGGATATTTGTTGGGTTGTTCATTACATTTTAAATATTTTTGCTTTTTGTCTGTATTTGTTGTTGTTATAAGCAACAGGGGAGTTGGCTGTTAAGAAATATTATTCTCATTTTGTAGGTATTTGGACTTTTGTGTAGTTGTTGGCAGTTGTTGCATGTTTTAGTTGCGAAATAAGAGCTGCCAGGTTGAGGATTAAGGGATTTGTTTGAGCTAGTTCAACGGAATTTGTAGGGAAGTTGTATAATTTTAAGATTTTAAATAGGTATTTTAAGGAATTTTTTAAATTTTATCAAATATTTGTCACAGTCCTATGTAGTACATTTTCTTATTTATTATTATCTTTTATCTTCCCTTTCTATGTTGCAATTGTTCCTTTTTAAGAGTTTCATGGCAGCTCTGTCGGGATTGCATGTTGATTTTCTTGTTTTTTATCTTTTCTTTAAATGTTTTTTCTTAGTACAGGGCAGGCATGGAAAATTCAATACAATAGTACTTTTAGTCAGCACATTTTGATACTTAGAAAATAGGTACCCCACGACATTTTCAGTACTTTTTATAGTCCATACTCTAGTCCATAGACTAGTCTATAGTTTCGTCTATAGTGAAGTCTATAGTCTAGTCTATAGTGTAGTGTATAGTCTAGTTTATACTATGGTCTATAGTTTAGTCTAACGTCTATTCTAAAGTCTATAGTCTAGTATATAGTCTGGTCTATAGTCTAGTCTATAATCTAGTCTAAAGTCTAGTCTAGTCTCTAGTTTAGTATATAGTCAAGTCTAGTTTACAGTTTAGTCTATAGTTTAGTTTAGTCTAGTCTATAGTCTAATCTATAATTTAGTCTATAGTCTAGTATATAGTCAAGTCTATAGCCTAGTCTGTAGTGTAGTCTATAGTCTAGTATATTGTCTAGTATATAGTCTATAATCCAGTCTGTAGTCTAGTCTATAATCTGTTTAAATAGTATGTACTATTTAAAAATTTAGATTTCCCATGTCTGGTACAGGGCTCACTCACGTGAGAGAGCTATTGCAGTGTTGTTGTTGTTGCTGTTATTATTAAAGTTTGTTTTGTTTTGAACTCTACTAAATATTTACAGACGATGTTAAGAGTTAGTTCGTTTCTACAGTTCGTAGCAAATCGTTGTCTGTTAACGGGGAGTTGTATTTTCAGTATAAAATTTACACGTACATCGGTTTTCTTTTATATTTTTTGTTGTTTTTTCTTATTATTGCGTGCGTGTGTGTGTTTAATTAGAGTGTGATTTTTTTTGGTGTTGTACTTACACGATCAGTTTTTGTGTAATAAGATTTCTTAATTTAAGATAAAAAAAATTAATAAATTACAAGAAACCAAAGTGTGTCATCTAATAAATTCAAAGTTTAATTAAAAATTTATTAATTCAACTGAAATATTGTAAATTATTTTGTTAATTTCTTTTTAATAAGTTTTTAAGTGTTAATTTTTTTGTGTTTGTGCCAGAGAGAGAAGGAAAACATATGTTGCGTATTTGGTTTAGCTTAAAGACGGGTTTATGATGGAAAATTTAATCTGTGTGTAAAAACTGGCTGTGACGCGTCAATTGTTTAATTTGTAAAACTAGGTTTTTTTATTAAAATTATTTGTTTATTTATGTTATTTAAATGGAATGACCTTTGGGCTATTTGGTTATATTGAAATCAAAACATAAATTTAAAGTAATTTAACAAAACATTATGAATAAATTTTAAAGTTGCATAGATATTAAAGGTGTCATGGTTTAGCTTAACTCTTGGTTTACATTTTTTTTAGGTCATTTTCAAAAAGTTGCACTAAATTTTTTATACCAAAACCTTTTATTTTAAGTTAATTGTTAGGGCTTTAGAGAAATTGTCGTTTTTTTTTCATACATACCTATTCCTTTTAAAAATCCTAAAAGAAAAACCACAAAACATAATAAAAATTAAACAAAAACCAAGATAAACCTCATAAAAACAATGCAGGTCTGGAAATAGCTATAGAAATGTGACAGAAAATTTTGTTTGAAATGTATCCACCCTATAGTTACATAAAAATTGGACTTAATTAATTTCAAAACATGTTAATTACTTAAATTAATGAAAAAAATAAATAAATAAAAATTTCTATTAAATTACTTTCTATTTAATAACAAACACACTTACCCAATCCTGCTATTTACTCTAAAAACAATAGCAACAACAACAAGTAGACAAAACCAGTACAAATTAAACAAGTACTCATTTCATTTAACTCAACAGATGACAAATATATTTTAGGCTCCCTTTTTCTCTAATACGTTTTATCTACTCCTCCTTTTTACCTTTTTCTATTACATTCTTAAAGTAGTGAGTAATTGTGTAAAATTAATTACTTTTTACCTTTTAAAGTTAAAAAAAACAAGTTAAAACGTGTTATTTAATAAAATTCTTTTTACATTTTTTGTTTATTTCTTAAATAACGGTTTCTTTTTGTTGATAAACAAAACAAATATTCAATCTATTGTTCTTATTCTTTACTATTGTAAAGCAAAAATATTACGAAAGCCAAAGAAATGTCATAAAATAAACAAAAACAACATACAATTAAATAACAGCAAATATCTTTTAACAGAAACACCACATTAGAAGTAATGTTAAGATAAACAACAGGGAGGGGAAATATTAACTTATAAAATATATATAAAAGTAATAAAAACCTTAAAACTAAAAAAAATATATCTTAAAAAGGTTTTAAAATTAAATTTTTATAAAATTCTTGTTAAAAAGTTTAAAAAACAAAAATTCTTTTATGTATTTAATAAAAACAATCCAGCCTTGGCGTCTCTGTGGTTTTAACATTTTGACATGTTATTTACAGTTTTCATATAACATTTTCTCTCTCTTTTTGTTTTGTTTTGCTTTTATTTAGTATTTTATGATCTTTTCTTTTTAATTTGTAATTGCATCTTTGGAATTAGTAATTTGTAAAAAAAAATATAAAAAAATTTATAAAATTTATTAAACAAGACACGTTTTTTAAAAAGATTTCTCTATCTTCCTGTAATTTACATATTTAAGTTAAATTTACCAACAATAAAAAAACACAAAACGCACAACTAAACAAATTAAAAAAAATATATAAAAATCACAAATTAATAAAGAAAAATTAAAAATTTAAAACTTTATTAAAGAAAATAAACAAAATAATTTATTAATTGAAAAAAATCTAGAAAAAGCGAACAATTATTAAAACAAAACAACTTTTACACCGAAAAAAAAAAACTTAAACAAAATGGAAGTTTAACTAAAAAACTATAAAAAATTATTAAAAGTAACAATTTATTCATTGTTTGGAGACAACAGATAACTTTTTAATTTTCCAAAAACTTGACAAATTTTATTACAAATATAAAATGATTAAATTAAAATCCCTGTTCCGTAGAGGACAGACACCCTCTCAAAATTCTTCTTCCTCCTCAACGAAACATTCCAGCAACAATAATCGCAATAAATCCCAGTCTACGCAGTCTCTTAATACAGCCATCGAAAACGAAGATAAACAAAACACGGCAGGCGGCAATTCATCAAAGAAAGTTCATCCCTCTGAGCGAAATCCTCTATTAAATATCGAGGGTTCTTCCGCCGAAAGAGGTGTAGATGTGGGTGATGATCAATTGACACACAGTCATAGTTTGGACCACAAGGCTATAGCCCACAATACCACTACTGGCCCTCAACACGCCAATACTTTGCCGCATAAGAAACAGAAAGGCACCACTCCTAAAAAAGGACAAAAACAACCTAAACCCCTACCAGCCACACCCTCAAATAATAAAAAATCTTCTAACAATACAAGCGATGTAATGTCTTCAATGGCTGCTGTAGTACCGGGACAACAAACAACAACGGTGGGCACGGTTAAGAATAATAATTTTAACGCCGCCTCTTCCATAACATCATCACATTCAAATCCAGCTTTATCTTCGAATACTGCCTCCAATAATTCGGGCAATAATGTGGCTAATGATTTATATGCCATAAATCCGGCATTTATGGCTGCTGCCGCAGCTGCTAGTTATCAATTGTTAAATAACGAACAGCAACAAATTTTAGAGGTAAGATTTGTCTTTTATTTTATAAATTTTCTATATTTTTATAAATTTTGTTGCTTCTATAGGCTACCAATAGCAAAATGCAGGAACTGCAAACACAATTGGATCGTTTAGGTCGTGAAAAACTGCTGGCAGAATCACGTGTCAATGAATTGTTGCCGTATCAAAGTGAAGTGACTAAACTTAAACAGGAACTTATGAAAATGCAGGTGTGTAACAAAAATAAATGGAAAATATAATAAAGAACTGAACTAGAACTGGACTAGAACTGAACTAGAACTGAACTAGAACTGAACTAGAACTGAACTAGAACTGAACTAGAACTGACTAGAACTGAACTAGAACTGAACTAGAACTGAACTAGAACTGAACTAGAACTGAACTAGAACTGAACTAGAACTGAACTAGAACTGAACTAGAACTGACTAGAACTGAACTAGAACTGAACTAGAACTGAACTAGAACTGAACTAGAACTGAACTAGAACTGAACTAGAACTGAACTAGAACTGAACTAGAACTGAACTAGAACTGACTAGAACTGAACTAGTACTGAACTAGAACTGAACTAGAACTGAACTAAACTGAACTAGAACTGAACTAGAACTGAACTAGAACTGAACTAGAACTGAACTAGAACTGAACTAGAACTGAACTAGAACTGAACTAGAACTGAACTAGAACTGAACTAGAACTGAACTAGAACTGAACTAGAACTGAACTAGAACTGAACTAGAACTGAACTAGAACTGAACTAGAACTGAACTAGAACTGAACTAGAACTGAACTAGAACTGAACTAGAACTGAACTAGAACTGAAACTAGAACTGAACTAGAACTGAACTAGAACTGAACTAGAACTGAACTAGAACTGAACTAGAACTGAACTAGAACTGAACTAGAACTGAACTAGAACTGAACTAGAACTGAACTAGAACTGAACTAGAACTGAACTAGAACTGAACTAGAACTGAACTAGAACTGAACTAGAACTGAACTAGAACTGAACTAGAACTGAACTAGAACTGAACTAGAACTGAACTAGAACTGAACTAGAACTGAACTAGAACTGAACTAGAACTGAACTAGAACTGAACTAGAACTGAACTAGAACTGAACTAGAACTGAACTAGAACTGAACTAGAACTGAACTAGAACTGAACTAGAACTGAACTAGAACTGAACTAGAACTGAACTAGAACTGAACTAGAACTGAACTAGAACTGAACTAGAACTGAACTAGAACTGAACTAGAACTGAACTAGAACTGAACTAGAACTGAACTAGAAACTGAACTAGAACTGAACTAGAAATGAACTAGAACTGAACTAGAACTGAACTAGAACTGAACTAGAACTGAACTAGAACTGAACTAGAACTGAACTAGAACTGAACTAGAACTGAACTAGAACTGAACTAGAACTGAACTAGAACTGAACTAGAACTGAACTAGAACTGAACTAGAACTGAACTATAACTGAACTAGAACTGAACTAGACTGAACTAGAACTGAACTAGAACTGAACTAGAACTGACTAGAACTGAACTAGAACTGAACTAGAACTGAACTAGAACTGAACTAGAACTGAACTAGAACTGAACTAGAACTGAACTAGAACTTAACTAGGAACAGAACTGAACTAGAACTGAACTAGAACTGAACCAGAACTGAACTAGAACTGAACTAGAACTGAACTAGAACTGAACTAGAACTGAAACTAGAACTGAACTAGAACTGAACTAGAACTGAACTAGAACTGAACTAGAACTGAACTAGAACTGAACTAGAACTGAACTAGAACTAGAACTGAACTAGAACTGAACTAGAACTGAACTAGAACTGAACCAGAACTGAACTAAAACTGAACTAGAACTGAACTAGAACTGAACTAGAACTGAACTAGAACTGAACTAGAACTGAACTAGAACTGAACCTAGAACTGAACTAGAACTGAACTAGAACTGAACTAGAACTGAACTAGAACTGAACTAGAACTGAACTAGAACTGAACTAGAACTGAACTAGAACTGAACTAGAACTGAACTAGAACTGAACTAGAACTGAACTAGAACTGAACTAGAACTGAACTAGAACTGAACTAGTACTGAACTAGAACTGAACTAGAACTGAACTAAAACTGAACTAGAACTGAACTAGAACTGAACTAGAACTGAACTAGAACTGAACTAGAACTGAACTAGAACTGAACTAGAACTGAACTAGAACTGAACTAGAACTGAACTAGAACTGAACTAGAACTGAACTAGAACTGAACTAGAACTGAACTAGAACTGAACTAGAACTGAACTAGAACTGAACTAGAACTGAACTAGAACTGAACTAGAACTGAACTAGAACTGAACTAGAACTGAACTAGAACTGAACTAGAACTGAACCAGAACTGAACTAAAACTGAACTAAAACTGAACTAGAACTGAACTAGAATTGAACTAGAACTGAACTAGAACTGAACTAGAACTGAACTAGAACTGAACTAGAACTGAACTAGAACTGAACTAGAACTGAACTAGAACTGAACTAGAACTGAACTAGAACTGAACTAGAACTGAATTATAACTGAACTAGAACTGAACTAGAACTAGAACTGAACTAGAACTGAACTAGAACTAGAACTGAACTAGAACTAGAACTGAACTAGAACTGAACTAGAATTAACACTGAACTAAACTGTTATTAGAATTGAATTAGAACTGAACTATTCGTTAAAAACTAGATTATTTGTCCCTGTTACTGATTCACCAGAGTTTTAGTTTAAAACTAATAGTTTTATTTAATAGAAACTAAGTTTTTGTTATAAATACCAATTAAAAATTTGATATTTAAATTCACATGTTAGAAAAACGAGACTTTAAGATATTTGTTCTGTTTAGTCAGTCATGAAACCACAATTCGAAAACATTTCATTCGAAAAATATTAAGAAAAGCTCAATAACACAAATCTTAAATATGAAACCACAAATCTATCAACAATAACAATAAAATATTATAGAAAGAAATCAAATAGAAAATACATCAACTATAAAATAATTGACTGGGAGCTCATCAAAACAAAAAAGAGCTAGAAATAAAATAAATATTGTAACAGGAAAAGCATGACTTGTAGTCAAGTAGTTTGTTTAAATTACTTTTAAGATTTTTTGCAATAATTCTGCCCCTAGAGGTGGTGAAAAGAAGGCGTTTTTTTGTAGATTAAAGTGTTAAATTACTTGTAGTTTTATTTATTTATTAATAATTTTACATTTTCTATCATTTAACGACAGAGTGTCCAAGAGAAAAATCAATTGGAAATTGCTAATTTAAAATATGAAAATGAATCATTAAGAAATCGTTTAAGAGACGTGGTCAATTCTCCACTATCGGATGCGGAAAAACATCAAATTATACAAGATTCACAACGTTTGCATAGTTCAGCACCAGCTTCTATAGCATTGCCCACAGTAAGTTATTAAGCACAGATAGGAAACAGTCATATAAATATATAATTAACTTTCTCCCAAACAGACAACAGACAATGATAATGGTGGCACTCCATGCCTTACACCCGACTGGGATAAACACTCCTCGTCTAGTGAAATATCTGTAGCTTGTTTACAGGATAAAATCATACAAATGGAAGAAACCCATTACTCGACTAATGAAGAATTACAAGCTACACTCCAAGAATTAGCCGATTTACAAGTTCAACTTACCGATGCTCATGCCGAAAACGAACGTTTAGCCGAAGAAAAAGATGTTCTTTTCCAATCGTTATGTCGACAAACCGAAAAACTTAATGAATCCCGTACACAAATCAATAATCTACAAGAATTGCTATTAAGAGATGCCAAACAAACGAGTGCTGCTGAAGAAGTAGCCAATACGGAGCGTGAAAAGAAATTGATGGATTTAATAAAAAGTGCTCAAGATGAACGTGAAGCGGTTTTAGTTAAACACGAAGAATTAAATGGTGAAATACAGGAAATGCGTCAAACGCATGAAGCTCAAAATCTAGAACAATCACGTCTACGTGAACGTATTGCTCTTTTAGAATCTTCCATAGATGCTGAGCATGCTCAACGCAAACAAATGGAAACACAGCTATTAAGCGCCAAAGAGGAAATTTCCCATGGTCTTATCGAAATCAATCGTTTAACTACTTTGCTAGAGAATGCTAAAGCTAAAATAGAAGAACTTGAACAAGATTTGGCTCGAGGTGATAAAACCGATCTTAGTGATCTTTTGGATACAGCACGCAAAGAGAAAGATGTTTTAGAAGAAAAAGTGGCCGAATTGCAAGATCAATGGTCTCGCAGCCAGGCAGAGGCAAGACGCCTTAAAGAACAACTTACCGATGTTACCGAAGAGCTTAAAGTCTCTAAAAATAATGCCAAATGTGCTCTCTCACATCTCGAATATCGTTTTGAACAATTGCAACAGGAAAAAGACAAACTTACTTTGGAAAATCAACAACTTTGTGAAACCTCCTCGGAGTTACAAGTACAATGTAAATGTCACTTGGAGGATAAAACACAACTACAAAATCTTTTAGCTGAAACACAAAAACATCTCTCCGAAATGGAACGTAAACTCAATGATACTCAAACACAATTGGAAGATTTGCAACAATTACGCAAACAGGAGATAGAAGAATGGCAACAGTTCCAGTCGGATCTATTGATGACGGTACGTGTGGCCAATGATTTTAAGACTGAAGCCTTAAGTGCTAGAGAACAATTAGTTTTGGATAATAAAACCCAAAAGGAAAAGATACGTATGCTCGAGCAGCAAATTGAAAAATTAACCAAACAACGTGAGTTTTCTTTTTTCTTTTATAAAGTAGTTCAAATTTTATTTTTTATATTAATGCAGCTTTATTTACAGAACAACAACAAACTGAAACCCAACAATCTGTATTAACAACCGTGCAACAGGAAATGGCCTCTAGACGCAGTAAAATTGGCAGCTTTTCAAGACAGGATTCCAGACTGTCCGTTAAGACTTTAATTGAAAGTATAGAAAATAATAAACAGGTAAAGTAATAAAAAAATGAAAACTACATATTTGTAAACAATAAAACAGAACTAGAACAAAACAAAACAAAACAAAACAGAACTAGAACAGAACTAGAACAGAACTAAAACAGAACTAGAACAGAACTAGAACAGAACTAGAACAGAACTAGAACAGAACTAGAATAGAACTAGAACAGAACTAGAACAGAACTAGAACAGAACTAGAACAGAACTAGAACAGAACTAGAACAGAACTAGAACAGAACTAGAACAGAACTAGAACAGAACTAGAACAGAGCTAGAACGGAACTAGAATTATAACAGAACTAGAACAGAACTAGAACAGAACTACAACAGAACTAGAACAGAACTAGAACAGAACTAGAACAGAACTAGAACAGAACTAGAACAGAACTAGAACAGAACTGGAACAGAACTAGAACAAAACTAGAACAGAACTAGAACAGAACTAGAACAGAACTAGAACAGAACTAGAACAGAACTAGAACAGAACTAGAACAGAACTAGAACAGAACTAGAACAGAACTAGAACAGAACTAGAACAGAACTAGAACAGAACTAGAACAGAACTAGAACAGAACTAGAACTGAACTGAACTAGAACTAGAACTAGAACAGAACTAGAACAGAACTAGAACAGAACTAGAACAGAACTAGAACAGAACTAGAACTGAACTAGAACTGAACTAGAACTGAACTAGAACTGAACTAGAACTGAACTAGAACTGAACTAGAACTGAACTAGAACTGAACTAGAACTGAACTAGAACAGAACTAGAACAGAACTAAAACAGAACTAGAACAGAACTAGAACAGAACTAGAACAGAACTAGAACAGAACTAGAACAGAACTAGAACAGAACTAGAACAGAACTAGAACAGAACTAGAACAGAACTAGAACAGAACTAGAACAGAACTAGAACAGAACTAGAACAGAACTAGAACAGAACTAGAACAGAACTAGAACAGAACTAGAACAGAACTAGAACAGAACTAGAACAGAACTAGAACAGAACTAGAACAGAACTAGAACAGAACTAGAACAGAACTAGAACAGAACTAGAACAGAACTAGAACAGAACTAGAACAGAACTAGAACAGAACTAGAACTGAACTAGAACTGAACAAGAACTGAACTAGAACTGAACTAGAACTGAACTAGAACTGAACTATAACTGAACTAGAACTGAACTAGAACTGAACTAGAACTGAACTAGAACTGAACTAGAACTGAACTAGAACTGAACTAGAACTGAACTAGAACTGAACTAGAACTGAACTAGAACTGAACTAGAACTGAACTAGAACTGAACTAGAACTGAACTAGAACTGAACTGAACTAGAACTGAACTAGAACTGAACTAGAACTGAACTAGAACTGAACTAGAACTGAACTAGAACTGAACAAGAACTGAACTAGAACTGAACTAGAACTGAACTAGAACTGAACTATAACTGAACTAGAACTGAACTAGAACTGAACTAGAACTGAACTAGAACTGAACTAGAACTGAACTAGAACTGAACTAGAACTGAACTAGAACAGAACTAGAACAGAACTAGAACAGAACTGGAACAGAACTAGAACTGAACTAGAACTGAACTAGAACTAAACTAGAACTAAACTAGAACTAAACTAGAACTAAACTAGAACTGAACTAGAACTGAACTAGAACTGAACTAGAACTGAACTAGAATTAAACTAGAATTGAACTAGAACTGAAATAGAACTGAACTAGAACTAAAACGGAACTAGAATTGAACTTGATAGACTAGTCTAGTAAATCTGTCAATAGGCTAGACTTTCGACTAGTCTATAGACTATTAATTTTTTAATTTATAAACTCTAATTTAATACAATTTATATCTTTTTTTCCAGACTGCTAAAACCGAAGAACCAGAATCTCGTTATAGTTCTTCCTCCAGCTTAAATAGTAGCACTACACCCGAAATAACTACCAGTACTATGCCTTTAAGCAATACAAATACCAATACAACTGACTGGTCGGAAAATGTAAGTCCTGCAATGTTATGATTATTATAATAATAAAACTTGTTTAAACATAAGTTGTGCTCCCTTTTGCAGGTTTCTCGCTTAACACCTTTGATAGGCAGCTTAAATACAACAACAACGACAACGGCAGCTTGTACACCAAATACTACAAATAATACCACAACCACATTGGTATCCTCATTGAATACCAACACAACCAAAGGTCCTTTAAGGGAACAACAACAGCAGCAATCAAATATACACATTAGTAGTTTAAATAATGTCTCCAAATCTTTATTAAGTGGTAAGAAGCCTAATAATTTTTTTTTAATTAAATGTTTTTTATAAATTTTGTTTTTTACTTTCAGGCGAACGTAAGGATCCCTTAAATATGCTGGCCAAAAATGGTGGTTCGAAGCGTAATGCTTTATTAAAATGGTGTCAAAATAAAACCGTAGGCTATCGCAATATCGACATCACAAATTTCAGTTCATCCTGGAATGATGGTTTAGCATTTTGTGCAATTTTACATTCCTATTTACCGGATCGCATTCCTTATGATACTTTAAGTCCAACCAATAAACGACGTAACTTTTCTTTAGCATTTGCCGCAGCCGAATCGGTTGGCATAACCACAACTTTGGTAAGTTTTCACTTAATTTCGTTTAATTTAAATTTTAGCTAAAATGTTTTTTTTTTCTTTTTAGAATATAAATGACATGTGTCAAATAGAACGTCCCGATTGGACTCAAGTAATGTCTTATGTTACTGCTATTTATAAACATTTTGAAACTTAAGTTTAATTTATTCATACTTCTTCTCTATTCATAAACTTACTATATTTACCTTTAACCTTTATATATTTAAAAAAAAACGTAATAATTAGTTTTAATTTAAACGTATATATTTAAACAAAAGAAAACAAAAAAAAAGATACAAAACAAATGTTGGCTTATTTTTATTGTTAACACTTGGTATATTATTATTATTATTATTAAATGTTATTAATTTTATTTTTTTATTAATAATAAGACTTGCCTCCCTGATTTTTTCTCCCTTTTTAGTTTTTATTCAAAAACAACAAACCAAATTTTAGTTTTTTGTTAATTTTTATGTTTTTATTCTTCTTATTGATCTTGTGCTTTTAGACCCTAGACGTTGCGCTTTCTCAGATTTTTGTTTCTTATAATTTATATTTATTTTATATATTTTTTTAAAATAAAATATTCATAATAAATTTATTAAGAAATCATTAAAAAAACACTTGAACTATTGCTACTAAAACAAAACACAACACCCAATTACTAAAAAGAAAATTTTAATTTATTTTTGATAAAAAAAGAGAAATAAACGAAAAATTTAAAAAAAATATTTAAAATAAATACAAAATAATCAATTAGAATTGTTTAATAAAGGGGAAATAAAACCGGTAATCAATAGACATAGATAGATAGATAGATAGATAGATAGATAGATAGATAGATAGATAGCTAGATAAGATCGATAGATAGATAGAAAGATAGATAGATAGATAGAATGATAGCTAGATATAGATAGATATATGATATATAATGATAGATGATAGTGGCTATCTAGCGCTAGCTCCTCGCTCCTGCTCGCTCGCTCGCTCGCTCGCTCGCCTCGCTAGCTCGCTCGCTCGCTCGCTCGCTCGCTCGCTCGCTACTCGATCGCTCGCTCGCTCGCTCGCTCGCTCGCTCGCTCGCTCGCTCGCTCGCTCGCTCGCTCGCTCGCTCGCTCGCTCGCTCGCTCCTCGCTCGCTCGCTCGCTCGCTCGCTCGCTCGCTCGCTCGCTCGCTCGCTCGCTCGCTCCTCGCTCGCTCGCTCGCTCTCTCGCTCGCTCGCTCGCTCGCTCGCTCGCTCGCTCTCGCTCGCTCGCTCGCTCGCTCGCTCGCTCGCTCGCTCGCTCGCTGCTCGCTCGCTCGCTCGCTCGCTCGCTCGCTCGCTCGCTCGCTCGCTCGCTCGCTCGCTCGCTCGCTCGCTCGCTCGCTCGCTCGCTCGCTCGCTCGCTCGATCGCTCGCTCGCTCGCTCGCTCGCTCGCTCGCTCGCTCGCTCGCTCGCTCGCTCGCTCGCTCGCTCGCTCGCTCGCTCGCTCTCGCTCGCTCGCTCGCTCGCTCGCTCGCTCGCTCGCTCGCTCGCTCGCCCGCTCGTCGCTCGCTCGCTCGCTCGCTCGCTCGCTCGCTCTCGCTCGCTCGCTCGCTCGCTCGCTCGCTCGCTCGCTCCTCGCTCGCTCGCTCGCTCTCTCGCTCGCTCGCTCGCTCGCTCCTCGCTCGCTCGCTCGCTCGCTCGCTCGCTCGCTCGCTCGCTCGCTCGCTCGCCCTCTCGCTCTCTCTCGCTCGCTCTCTCTCCCCTCTCGCGCCCTTTCGCCTCTCTCCTCCTCTCTCTCCTCCCTCCTCTCTCCCGCTCCGTCTCCCCTCCTCTCTCGTCCCGTCTCGCGTCCTCTCTTCTCCGCCTCTAGACTAATCTATAGTTCAGACTAGATATCATCCATGTTATAGACTGATCAATCCAGATTATGGATTGATTTATAATCCAGATTAATTTATAGTCCAGACTATAGACTGATCTATAGACCAGACTATAGATAGGACTATAGACTTATCTAAAGACCAAACTATAGACAAGAGTATAGACTGATCTATAAACCAGACTATAGACTGATCCATGGACCAAACTATAGTTTATGGACTGATCCATGTACTAAACTATAAACTGATATATGGACCAAACTATAGACTGATCTATATGGTCCTGACTATAGATTGATCTATAGTCCAGACAATAGACTTATCTAAAGACCGAAATATAGACAGATCTAACGATCACACTATAGACTAATCTATAGTCCAGACTATAGACTAATCTATAGTCCAGAATAAACAATTCTATAGTCCTGACTATACACCAATCTATTGTCCAAACTATAGACAAATCTATAGTCCAGACTACAGATTGATTTTTGGAATGATCTATTGTACTAACTGATCCAAACTTTAAACAAAATATTTCTATTTATTAAAAAACTATTGTTATTTGTTTAGTATCAATACTTTTCTTTATATAATTCCCAACTTGTTTCTTTTTACTAATTTTTCATAAATATGCCTTAAAAGTAACAAAAAAAAATTATACTTTTTTCATCTTAACAATACTTCTAGGGTAATGTAAACAACAACCTCATTTCCAATATAATAATTTTAACACATAATAATATTTTTTTAGTCTAATTTTGACTTTTTGCCCCTGATTTGGGCTGAGCATTCATGGCGTCCAATTCGTTTTGTATGCACTCAAATTGTTGATACAATTGCAACAATTCTTCATGATTCATTTCTAAATTTATATCCTCTCCGGCACCAGTTTTCAGCTGCAAAACAGCCAAAGCCGATTTTTCACGTTGTTGACATTGAGAAGATATCTCGACGTTTAACTTCCAGGCCACATCGGCAATTTCATTCGATTCATAACGATCACTAGCTAAGTTATTCATAATGGGTGTGGTTTGTCGTACCCACAAACGTACGATGGCATCGATTTTGGCCTCATCTTGCAGCTGCAGTTTGTCACGTAATTCGGCTTGCAGCAGCGAGGGTTTAATGATGTAAGTGCTGGTACGTCTTAAAATATAGGAAAATGTTTTAATCAATAGCAGAAAATCGGGCCGGGGTACACCCACTAAACGTTCAAGTTCTTCCAAGGCGTTTTCATTTTCTGCCGATGAGGTAAGACCCTCCTCAGAGGAATCACCGCCCGCATTGCTATTAAGCATTTGTCGGTGTACATATTGCAAGACCGTGCTAAAGGTGTTGTAGGGCAAGGAATTGATGATTTTTATACCTTCACGAGCTCTGTAAGCCAAGATAAACAATTTTAAGAATTTTATTTTTCATGTGCAAACAACTCCTCACCTGTCTGTTATTTTTATCCAATTAATGCTCATTTTTTTACTAATTATTGTCCGGTCTTTACCTCTCTCTCTCTAAAGTTTATATAAAAATGTAATAAAACAATTATTTTTATAGTTTCCTGTTCCTCTTTGTTTTCTAATTTACAAAATCCTTTCAAGAAAAACAATAACAAACTAATGTTTTGATTTTTAGTTGTCATTTTTTCTACTTCCACTTACTCAAAAGTGTCATCTCTAGATAACATGAAAAATACAACTCTGTATAATTGCATTTGTTTACTATTGTGAATGATTTTTCAGTCTCCTTTTTGCAAGACGTGTAAAGTTTGTAAATGTTTTTCTGTGTAAATATTTGTGTTTTTTACTGTAAATAAATGTAAAATTTTGTGTTTTTCTTGTGTTGAAATAATGTCGGCTACTTTACGTTATCGTGGTGATAAAAATAATTTAATAGAATTGGCCAAAAATTTAGACGCGTTTAAGAAAGTGCCGGAAAAATATACAGAGACTACAGAAATTGGTGGCACTTGTAAGTAGATGTTGTTGTTGTTATTTTTTCTCTTTGTTGTTGTTGTGTGTAAAGGCAAGTTGAGATTTGTAAACACAGAGAAATATATCAGGGTTAGAGAAAAAAATAAGATAAAAAATTGTTTAGTTTATATCTTAATGTGGACTAATGTTAGTCTGGACAATTGTTTAGTTAATAGACTGGTCTATAGTTTAGTCTATAGCCTGGACTATAGTTTATAGTTTGGACAATAGCTTAGTGTATAGTCTGGACTATTGTTTAAACTATAGTATAGACTATAGTTATGTCTATAGCCTGACTATAGTTTAGTTTATAGTGTGAACAGTACTATATCCTATAGTCAGGACTGTGGTTTAGTTTCGTATGTAGTCTGGATTATAGTTTTATCGTTTCTAGTCAATCGTTTAGACAATAATGTGGTTTATTGTTTAGTCAGCATTTTGGACCTAAGGTTACTTTATAGTTTAGATCAGTCCTCTTACACTTCAAATCTATTAAATCGAAATTTATGGTTTATGATTCTTTTCAGTATCCCTCATTAGTAGATTGCTGATCATATTCTTGATCTACAAAGAAGTTTTATACTATAAAGATGCCAAATTAAAATATCAATTTGAACCGGATATAGATACGGAAAAGGTGCAAATGCATGTCGATATAACAGTGGCCATGCCCTGTTCCTCTCTCTCCGGGGTGGATTTAATGGATGAAACTCAACAGGATGTATTTGCCTATGGTACCTTACAACGTCAAGGTGTATGGTGGCAAATGTCACCGGACGAACGTATCGAGTTCGAACGACAGCAATATATGAATCATTATCGTCGTGAACAATATCATTCCATAGCTGATATCCTTTTTAAGGATATGATTAAGAGTAATGAGGCTCATGAACAGCCTTTAGGGGATAATGGCAAACCAGTGCCCGAGGATCAATATGATGCTTGTCGTTTACATGGTACTTTGGGTATTAATAAGGTGGCGGGAGTTTTGCATTTGGTAGGAGGAGCCATGCCCGTAGTAGATCTATTTGGGGACCATTTAATGATTGGTTTTCGTCGTATGCCAGCAAATTTTACACATCGTATAAATCGTTTAAGTTTTGGTCAATATTCGAAGCATATAGTGCAGCCCTTAGAGGGAGATGAGGTTTATATAACAGAGGAGGAAACCACCGTACAATATTTCTTAAATATTGTACCCACCGAAATACACAACACGTTTTCCACCATCAACACTTATCAGTATTCTGTTACGGAAAATAAAAGAGTATTGGGTAAGTTCTCTTTTTATTTTATCAAAATTTCTTTAGATTTTATTGTTGCGCGGAAATTATATGCAGATCCTGTACAAAATTCCTATGGCAATCCGGGTATTTATTTCAAATATGATTGGTCGGCTTTGAGAATCATAGTGCGCACTGATCGTGATAATTTAATACAATTTATAATACGTTTA